CCCCCCATTCACCATGGGTATGATTTTGTTCTAGGTCTTAGATGCCTAAGAATGAGTTTTTTGAAGAGTCATCATGGTAAGGACCTGGTTAACCATGTTATTGATATTGTTGATGATAATTTAGTAAACCCTTCTAGAAAATAGTTAAGGAATGCCAACAGCAAACCTCATGAGACAAATTTTTTTTTAAATTTTTTTTAGAGAAAGCCAGCCAGGTCCAAGAAGGAGAAAAAACTCCTGAAAAGCAGCTCCCAATTATTTTATGGAGGGGATTCCCCTCCAAACAATGCCTCTCTCTCCATCCCTCCTCTCCACTCCACGTCCACAGCTCCAGATCCTCATCCGTCTCAAGGTATGGACCACCCTGTAGTTGTTAAAAACTTTTTAATGTGTTTCTTATGTAAGTGATATTTAACTCTGAATTTATTTACTTTGAAGTTTCTGTGTAATGTTTTGTATTGAAGCAAGGTTAGGGTAAAACCTTGGTGGTCGAGAACAAATTAATCAGTTTTCAGTTATTTCTTATGGGGAAAACTGATTCAGAACTGGACTGCATCCCATCTCGACGCTCCTTCTAGAACGGATTAGCGTCGAGGTCCGGGGTTCGACTGTACATTGGCCTCTATCCTTTTTATTATAAATTAATATGATTGCATATATTCATGCCTGTAAATACCTCTGTGAATAGCTTTGCCTCCTACTTCTTTCCTCTGTTTCCGTTTACCTTCTCCTGCCCCACTGTAACGTTCACCCTCCATTCGGCTCTCAGTAATTCCTCTCATCTACATTGCACTCGATCAAACCCCACCAGGCATTAAAAATTCACTGCCAGAGTCAAATGCTGACTCATAGCGACCCCCTGTGGATTTCCGAGACTGTCGCTGTTTACAGGAGTAGAAACCCCAGTCTTTCTCTGGTGGAGCTGCTGGTGGTTTCAAACTGCCGACCATGCAGATTGCAGCCTAATGTGTAACCATTACACCATCAGGGTTGCCTTAGACCAGTGGTTCTCACCTTCCTAATGCCGTAACCCTTTCATATAGTTCCTCATGTTGTGGTGATCCCCCCAACCATAAAATTATTTTTGTTGCTACTTCATCACTGTCATTTTGCTGCTGTGATGAATCGGGTGACCCCTGTGAAAGGGTCATTCAACCCCCAAAAGGGTCGTGACCCATAGGTTGAGAACCGCTGCCTTAGACTGATAAGGAGCCATTAAATGGCCCGGGCCAGTAGCAGTTACAGAGGTTGAAAAGACAGCTGCCTAAATGGGGAGCAAACAGCGCCAAAAAGACAAGGTGGGAGAGGGCTCACAGAGATAAGCAGAGCAGGTCCTGTAGCTGACAGACGAGATGAGAGGGCTCAAGAAGGTGCAGGCAACCAAACATAGAAGATGGAATTGCACGCGGGCAGAAAGGCAGGTGTGGGTGAGTAGTCGGATGGGCGCTCCGGGCTCCAGGCAGCATGCGGCTGCAAACTCACGGTCGTGGAATGGACTCTGACTCATAGCAACTCCATAGCACAAGTTTGAATTGCCGCGTAGACCTCCAAGTCTGGAGCTATTTATGGAAACAGAAAGCCTCCTCTCCCTCCCACCGAGAAGCTGCCGTTTGCAAACTACAGCCAGTGCTGCTAGCAGCTGTAGTACGTGAATAATTTCGTGTCAACTTGAAGTGTAGGGTGGAAGAGTCAGCTTGATGGTGCCTCCTGGTGGGTGCGACCTCCTCCTAAGGGTGTCCTAGGAACCTCCCCCCCAACCTCTCTGCTTCACCTTCCTGCTGCCAGAGCCACCACCATTGGATCCACACAACTGCACCCACCGGCCTCTGATCTTCCTGCATCAGTGCGTGTGGCTTCCTGAGTCTGAAGAGGGATTTATGGACTAGTATCGGACTTATGGACTGGGCTGGGATGTTTGCTTGATATAGAATTACCTCTTGATGTAAAGTTCTCTCTTACACATCGGAGTGTCATTGGATTTTTTTCTCCAGTCAAGCTGGCCTAACATAGCAGCCCATGGTGCCGCCAGCCCACGCTATTTGCCCCCAGAGCTCCTCCACTTTAACGTAAGTGGTGATCTGACTTCACAGGAGATCCGAAAAGAAGAAAGGAGAACAGAAGGTGAAGCCGAGATTCATGCTCAGCTCCAGGGAGTGGAGAGTTCTGTCCTGAGCCTGGGAGCTTACCTTGGAGAGGAGTCGGGAGGGACACCTGTCTTGTCCTTGCTTCTCTACGTGAAAGAATCCACACAGCGGACGCCCGAAGCCACGTCCAAGGAAGCCCAGCTCTGCAGAGCAGGGAGGCCGTGTGGAGGCCAGCGCGGGGAGACCAGAAAAGAAGTGCTGGTGGAACGAGAGAGCTGTGTCCTCTCTGGAAAGGGTGAGGGGAGGAAACCAAAGACTGGGACCGAAAGCCGAGTTTTCACTAACGTACCCGCCTGCCCTGACTGGTCTCCTCCCACATCCACTTAGAGGGCGTGGCTTTATCACTAGATTCGCAGTGGATGCCTCCTAGTGTGACATAGAATGTTGCTGGTCTTTTCTGCCCAAGCTATGAGTGGGCATGCATAAGGGTGCGTGGGACTTAACTGGACCTTACTGCGCATGTCTCTTCCCATAGCTGCCTAAATCTTAGGAAGGACCCTTTCACCTATGGGCATGGTTAGCTATCCCTTGCTGATTGGTGGGGACAATTGGTGCCTTTTGGGGGACAACTCCTTTTTCCCTCAGCTTCCTACCTATCAAATTGACCAGGGTGATTAGAAAAATTGCTCATTTTATGTTTGCAAGTTTTCAGGGAAACGAAAGGGAACGTGGGCACTGATGCCATTTCCCATCACTTTGTAACCACTTCGTGTAGGGGCGTATTGCAGGAAAATGGGCTCCCCCACTCCTGGAGCTCAAGCTGGGCCTCTTGTTGCCATCATCAGTGGAAGCCTTTGGCTCCTGTGGCTATGCTGGGGAAGGATGTTTCTCGGGGAGCTCCCCTCATGCTGGTATTGTTAGAGAAGACCTTTGCACAGGTCTCTGCTCTCTGAGGAGCACTGAGGTAGTTACGTAATCTGTTGTCAACTTGAGCCTTAGAGCGAAGGGGTGGAGTTTAGCCTGTCAATCAGGTCGCAGCTTGATGACCTCATTTGGAGCCACTAAAGAGATAAATAGCTTGCGGGAGGTGGGACGGTCACTCCTTCCCTTCAAGACATTCCTGTTGGCAAGCCACATGGAGCTATGCTGATGGCAGCCAGAGCCTTGGAGCTAGAGGAGCCGCGTGGAGACCCCTGCCAGCACTAAGATGCTTCCACCGCTACTGGATCCACAAGACTTTCCGCCCACTGGACTGTGATCTTTCTGCACGCAGCATCATTGCATGTGTTGCAGGAGTTTACAGGCTGGTACTGGACATATGGACTAATAGTGAACTCATGGACTTGATCTGGACTGGGCTGGGCTGTTTTCTTAATTACAATTACTCTTTATGTAAAGCTCTTTCCTATACACATGGGTGTCAATGAATTTGTTTCTCTAGTCAGAGATCCTTCAAGTTGACCTAAAGGGCCGAGTGGTATTTCAAAAGAAAATCATTTTTTTCTGCTTCAGGCTAAGACAAGTCTGGCCCTTCCCAGTATTTCAACAGGCGTCCCAAAGGGGCTGGACGGATGGGTTCTGCCCCATCTATCTGGAGAGGGGTACACCACCTTCCAGCCTCCCTAAGGCTGGTTTCTTCTTGGACCCCCCCAGGGGAAATAACTGGGTGCAAATTCCTTCCACTTGGCTCTCTCCCACAGCCAGTCCCTTCTAAGCAGGCAAAAGCTGCAGTCAAGTGTGAAAAACATTTCTTAGCTTCTTTATAGCACTTTAAGTGGAAAGGGTTAAATCTAGATAAACAGACCAGCCCAGATGAAGGGCATATCAAGCCTCTATTTGGGAGTTTCCTCCCCCAATATCTCCATAATTGATGGCCTATTACCATGCCCTTTGTAGGTAATGGGTATAAGGCCTCACCCGTTTTAAGCAGTTTCCATGGGCTGAGTCTTTCAAAATCTCAGTGAGACTCAACATTTAGAGACTATCAAGCCTCAGTGAGCTCTTCTTTCTGCAATAGGAAAGAATTTTTCTTGGGCAGTGTCCCTGATGAACTAAGGAGTGGTGAAGACTTCCAATTGAGCTTTCTTGAGTCATGGCCAAAAAAGCCTCTGGTAATGTATTTGCAAGCCTCACAGAGCACACTCCTTGTAGTTGCTTTAGGAACCACATGACAGGTTCAGAAATTGAGGCACGAACAGAAGTGTTAGCATGCTATGTATTTCAACAAGTAATTTCACAAAACTCCGTACAAAGCTGGTTTCTCTGAGGTGGAGGTAAAACACACAGGTCTCTAAGTTGTTGTAAGCAACCCAGGAGACATCCCAAACATTGCAAGGTTGGTTTTCTGGGTTTGAATATATAGGACCATAATCTCGCGTGACAACTCAGTTATTTGGCACAATATAGTTCTTAAAGTAGCCTATATTCCAGTGTGCTCAATACTTTCTGTGGTCTTAAATATGTTTGAGGTACATGCAGAGACAACTACTGATCTCTGCTCATAGAGGAAAAGGAAGGAAATCAAACACTCGGGACAGAATCTGGTGGACAGGACACACCGTTCACAAGAGCCCACTCCGCCCGCTCGGACCCCACCACACCGAGGCAAGACACTGAGGGAGGGCCTGCAGCAGAACGGCCCGGGAGCAGAGCAAGGATGTCCCGGGAATACCAAACATAGACTTTGGGGCCAGGGTATGGCACCCCATCAGACTCTACTGGAAAATACTCCTAAAGGTCAACAAACAGATCTTGAACTGTTTACAGGCTTTTTGGGTTTTTGTGTGTGTCATTTTTTGTTGTTTTGTTTTCTTTTGTTGCTTTGTTTTGCTCTGTCTTGTTTTTTTGTGCATATTATTATCTCTGCAAGTCCATCTAGATAAGA